AGGGCAGCATTTGGAGAGGTGCAAATTGTACACTATGCTTTGCAACCTCCTTAACTCTTTGGGAGTACTAACTAAATTACAATGTCATAGACCCCATTCCAGATCCTCAGAATCAGAATCGCCAGGGGAGAGGCTTTGGAGACTGTGACTAACAGGGGCCCCAGGTGATTCTTATCAGGGGGGCTTGGGCAACACTGGACAAGTGGAATACAGTTTGTCCATGAACATTGTTGGAATGAGTTTTGGAGATAATGGTGAAGAATGAGATTAGGTAGTATGAAGGTCACTTTATGTCATACCTGTCTTTTTGATTGTTTGGTTTTCTGTTTGTATCCTACTTTATGCTGCTACGTCTCAGTCATTAATAGGTACATTGAATTGAGCATTTACTTGGACAACTTTAAATTGAAAACTTTGGACCTAAGCCCAATGTACAAGATTCCCACCCTTGACTTATCTATGACCTGAGAAACACTCAAACAGGAGAGTGGGGAAGAGGATGAGCATTGTTTATTTATAGCATGTTCCTTGACTCTTAATCATGTTTCATTTTATTTGTTAGAAGACTGAGTAGCTACTAAGTGATACAGCTAATATTTGACCCTGGGTTTCCAGAGCAGAAGAAATGTGATTTGTCAAAAAGTGGTGAGCAAAGTGCTCGTTCCTTCAGTTAAAAATGGTGAACTGCAAAATGCAGCTTTGGAGTCAAAGTCCATAGTAACCTTTGTTACCATATGAAGATGTGTGCCGGCCGTTCCCTTGATTTCTTTTAAGGAAAACCAATTATCAATATTTTATGTGCATTTATCTCTATTTTAAAATCTTGCTTTTATATGTGCATGTGTATATACATTTTTGTTTATAAAACAAAACCATGTGTTTGCCAACACTCTGATACAAAATAAGTCATTGGGTAGAATTTTGCTGTAGGACTAATGGTTTGTGACCACTGTGTTAAGTCATCTCTGAAGTCTAATCCTTAAGATATAATGATTTGTGATGATGCTTGATGAGGTATGACTTACTGATTTGCTTTCCTATCATATCTTAAAGAAATTTTCCTGAATATTTATGTGGAGCACTATTAATAACTGAGGCTTCTCCAAGTACTAACATACTTTTATTTTTTTTTTGAGACAGAATCATGCTCTGTCACCCAGGCTGGAGTGCAGTGGCACGATCTCGACTCACTGCAAGCTCCGCTTCCTGGGTTCACACCATTCTCCTGCCTCAGCCTCCTGAATGGCTGGGACTACAGGCGCCTGCCACCACGCCCGGCTAATTTTTTGTATTTTTTGTTTGTTTGTTTGTTTGTTTTTTGAGACGGAGTCTTGCTCTGTCGCCCAGGCTGGAGTGCAGTGGCCGGATCTCAGCTCACTGCAAGCTCCACCTCCCGGGTTTACGCCATTCTCCTGCCTCAGCCTCCCGAGTAGCTGGGACTACAGGCGCCCGCCACCTCACCCGGCTAGTTTTTTTGTATATTTTTTAGGAGAGACGGGGTTTCACCGCGTTAGCCAGGATGGTCTCGATCTCCTGACCTCGTGATCCACCTGCCTTGGCCTCCCAAAGTACTGGGATTACAGGCATGAGCCACTGCGCCTGGCCACTAACATACTTTTAACTTCGCTGGAAATGACAGAGAAAGACTGAAAGGCTCTTTCCTGATTACCGTGGGCACAGTGCTACCCTCCCCTGAGCCTTCTTGTCAAGTCCTCTCTTAATTTCTACTTTTAATTTTCTACCGTAAGATTCTGTTTTCTTCTCTTTTAAATCTGATATTTTCAAACATGGAAAATGTTATTTCTTTTTATTCATTTTACAAACGCATCCACTGAAATAAAACAATTTGAAAGATCTTTATAAACAGATTTTATCTTTAGCTCTCTGTAGAACAAATACCTGTTTCTATGGGAAAAGCTTTCTATGTGTAACATTATTGACTGAGGGAGAAAGGGTTGTAAGGAGAAAATTTTGTTTTAAAAATTTTGAATTGACAAATAAAAATTGTATGTATTTTTGGTGAATAATGTGATGTTTTGATATGTGGATGTATTGTGGAATGGCTAACTCAAGGTAATTAACATGTGTATTACCTCACATAGTTTTTATTGTGGTGAGAACACTTCAAGTCTACTCTCTTAACAATTTTCAAGTATGCAATATTAACTGTAGTCACCATAATATACAATAGATCTCTTGAACTTATTACTCCTTTGTAGTTGGAATTTTGCATTCCATAATAGTCTGTTTGCTGCATTTGGGGATGTGGATCTATTTAGGAACATGGATCTATCCACTTCCATGTATAATTTCAGCCCCGTGTGAAGCCACACACAATCAGTATCTTTTTACTAACATGTTTAGTGTCATTAGTGGATCTTGAAACTAATTCAATGCATCCTAACTGGTATTAATATGAGAGAGAGAAGAAAGAAGATCCCTGTGTGCATTGCAGGTGGTAAGGGTAAGAAATATTTCATAGAACTTTTGTTTCAGATGTGTGTGTGTGAGTGTGTGTGTGTAAATTCTACTTTGCATCATAGAATGTATTTCTCACTGGGATGGCAGTTAACACATTTCAGAAGCCTCTGAGCTAGGATGACTAAATAGATCCTTGGTCATTCCTGCCCAGTATAAAAGAGTTAAATTTTAATCTAGAAATTTGAAAGGATTTTCATCATATATTAATTACCTCCAAGCCTAGGCTTTTCTCCTCAGTCCCTTCAAAGTACTTCTCTGTCTAGCTTAAATCTGTCCTCTGGCCCAAGGGTCACTTTTCAGGAGAATGACAGTGCTGAAGATAGAGTTCTTACAAAATGGTGAGCTGCCCAGCCTTGGAGAGTAGGAGAGAGACTTGCAGGCTCTAGGAGGGGGCTGTGGAGGGCAGTGAGCCAGCCCTAATTCTATCTTCACCAAAATTCCTTGAAAATGGAAAGAAGGAATAAAGGGGAAAGGCAATATGAGAGTAAATAGAGAATCTCATGTACATTTAAAGATATTAAAAAGGCACATAGAGAAGGAGACCTAGAAATACTTTGGCAACGAAATGTTTTTCAGTCATTATGGGCTTGTTTCTTAGGAACTGAGTGACTTGGAGAAAGATGTGGTTCTTGTCTGGGTTGTGGAATAAAAAGCCAATTGTTTCTGTGAACCAGTAAGTATGTTTGCTATCTTGAGGTTATTAGTCAGACACACCACAAATTAGCAGAAGTTAACACCTCCTGTATTTATTTCATATTTGTTTAGACTCTCAATAAATTGTATTTCAAAATTTAAAAGGGGAAGTGAGATATAGATTGTTGTATGAGATTGTGGACACTAGAGGGATAAACATTCTTATGTCTTAGTAAGAATATAATGGCAAGTGAATGCTCCCTTTTAAGGTTTCCAGAAGGAAATCAACTTGTGCTGATTTCAATCTTTTAAAAAAAATCACATTTGTCACAATGGTAACCTAATGAGCATTATGTGAAACTAATGAAAAGCACTTCGTATTTATGTTCAGTATTTTCTGTTATCTATTGATTCACTTATAAAGCACTATCTTATGTTCTTATTCTGGGGGAGAGTTCTAGATATGTTATGAACTACATTAATAACTCAAGCTGTCATTATGAGCAATAGGTTAAAAGAACTAAGCCACTTTTGTATGCTTGGTGAAGTAAAAACCAGCTTTTCAAATATGCTTCAGAGGCAGGCTTTTAAAAAATTATATCGAAGAGATAGTGTTATTTTGGCCAGTGAATCTTCATTGATTTAGTTCTCTATAAATAAATATTTTAGAGGCCAAACTCCAAAGGACTAAGAGCTGATAGGGATAGAACTTTTTTTTTTTTTCTTGTTGCTATCATTAGTATAAAACTGATGAGACTGACATGAATATTTTCTCTCATGATAAGACGTGCTATCTATTGTGGGTCCAATATCTAGGCACAACTACATATACTCAGAGGCTGTTGTTCTTCCCATCGTCTGCCTGGAATCCCAGCTATTCGGGAGGCTGAGGCACGAGAGTTGCTTGAACCCCTTTCTTTCCTTTTTTTGTTTTGATTAACAAACTCACATTCCAGGTAGGTCTGCATTTCTTGGAAAATAAGGAAACCTTAGAAATAAGGAAAATAAGGGAATATGTATCAGTTCGATTTTGTTTTGTTGCAAAGCACCCCAAAACTTAATGACATAACATTTATTGACTCATAATTTGGTGGGTGGGCAAGTCGGACTGAGCTCAGATCAGCTTATCTCTATTCTAATTTGTCTCATCTGGGCACACTCACTTGTTAGTGGTCAGTTGGCAGTCAGTGGTGTCATTTATGTATTTATGGAGGTTATGGTGGCAAATGGGGCAACTGAGGCATGTGGTGTGGGCCACAGTGGTTCCTAGAACAGTGACAGAGAATAAGCTCCAATGAACAAGCACTTTTCAAGCCTCTACTTACTGTCTTGTTTGCTAGTGTTACATTAGCTGAAGCAAGGCACATGGCCAAGCCCAGATTCCACAGGTAGAGAAAGACTCTACCTCTTGATTGGCAGAAAGTTATGCATGCAAAGACAGGAAGAATTTGTGGGCATTTTTGTAGTCTACATAGAATGGGTTTTATTGATGTCCTATGATCTATCAGACTTTCTGCTAGGTGACTTATGTGTTACGCGTTTAGTCCTCAAAACAATTTCCTGAGATGCCTGGCATTATGCCATTGCAAAGATGATAAAATTGATGATCAGAGAAGTTAAGAGACTTGCACAAATTAAGCCCAAATTGTTTGCTTCAAGTTACAGAATGGCCTTTTAGGTGCTGTCTCTCAGATGCTTAGCCCATGAGGCAAAAAATGTACGCTCTATTTGGTAAAAATGGAGTTCTAAAGACTGCTTTTACTTTCTCCCTTACCTGTTGAACCATTGGGTCATATATTTATTTGGTATAGAAAAAATATTAAAATTTCACTGTCTTTGAGACTTTTCAGAAGCTCATGGAAGTGAGTTTTTTGTTTGCTTGCCAGGTCAGCTACACAGCCTGGATCTCACCACAGTTTGGACATGGCTGAGGCTCTCCAATGGGCCAGATATCACTGGCGACGGCTGATTGGAGGTGCAACCAGGGATGATGATTCGAGGCCATATAACTATTCTTCATTGCTTGCCTGTGGGTGCAAGTCCTCACAGTCCCCTAAACTGGCAGGAAGGCACCGGATTGTTGTTCCCCACCTCCAACCCTTCAAGGATGAGTATGAGAAGTTCTCTGGAGCCTATGTGAACAATCGAATACGAACAACAAAGTACACGCTTCTGAATTTTGTGCCAAGAAATTTATTTGAACAATTTCACAGGTATTGTTTTATTTTTGAAGAAAACCTTAGAATATCATTCTAGTTGATGCATAACATTTTTTTCATTTCCATAACTCTGTATGTTACTTAAACCTAAGACATGTGACATCATCCTTGACAATTTTGGTACAAGTCTGTATGATGACTCCTTCCATTCATGTCACACTTTCCAATTGGTACGGTGTTTTCTCTTTACCAGAAAAAATATTGTAATTCACATATTATGGATTAGGAAATGAATTGACTGTGGTTTAGCCAATGTTATGCCAGTGTCAAGTAGCAGACCAGGGGTTGCCTCCAGGGGTCTTCTTACTCTTGCTTTACTGTTCTTTCCATGAAACCATGCTACATTTTAATTTCAGATTTTTCTTACTGATAATAGGAGGAAATAGAGCTCTGAAGCCAGTGCAGATGTCAGATGTTATTAGGTGTAACAGTGACCTAATTCAGCTTAATTCACTCTCCTGTGAGTTTAGGCACTGAAGGAAATGGAAGTGCGAGTGCCACTCCTCACCTTGCGGAGTTTGCCATTGTGCTAGGCAAACACTATATGTATATAAAAAGCAAAAAGACTTAGTGAGTGCAATGAATGTTATAAAGGGCTGTCAAGTAGAGTGAAAGCCTCGAAAAGAGAAATAATAATACTAACTGGAGCAATAGAAGGGGAAGTGACATTTGACTCAATAATGGAGGGTGGGTGAGATATTCAAGGCAGAGATGTGGGCAAAGCATATTTCAGATGGAGGAAGTAGTATAAATAATGGCATAAAGGCAGTAGCATAAAAGGCTTGCTTGAAGCCTGGGAAGTAGTGTTCTCTGACTTACATGTAGCATCTATGCTGGGGAACAACAGGAAGTAAAGTCAGAAAGATAAATGTGACCCAGCAAAGAGGTCTTGCTATCAGGATAAAGAGTTGAGAGCCAAGGCTGCAGGCACAATTAACATGCTTACGTCAGATTTCACTACAGAAGCAGTGTGGTGGGTAGATGAAAGGGCTTAGAGATGATGGATGATGGCAGAGAAAACATTTAGGAAGACATTGTATATATCCCAGTGAATTATAATGGAGACCTGACCTTGGAACAATGTGGGAATGAAAAGAAGGGTGATCTCTTACAGATACTATGGATTAAGACATTCAGTGAAAGGAATAAAAAGATGAGGTGAACATGTTGAGCTGTGATCACCAGAAGGATTAACAGAAAAATGAAAAGTGTAAAAAGAACCTTGGCTGGAAGAGTATTTTGTTTTTGTAAAGGTATTCAAGATGCCAGTGCAAGTAAAGAGATTCTCCATATTCTTTAGTCATTCTGCATACATTCATTTTCATTATTCATTCTGTATATGTGCCATATGCATTTATTAAAGAGTGGTTATGTTTAAAAGACAGATGTGAATTTGTTGAATTAATGGCTGTATAGCCCTATGTGTGTTTCATTCTTTTATGGAGTTTGGAATCTAGTGTACCCAATGGAATAAAAACCTGAAACAGAGTTCAAGGTTAGAGCTATAGGTTTAGATATGGTCCATCTGGAAAGAGTTGAAGCCACAGAGTAGAAGAAAGGGTTAAGAAAGAAATTTTCAGAGTAAAATGATTTGGAGGTGACAAAAAAGAAGTATATATAGGTTACTCTTTTGAGAAGTTTCATGGTCGATGGAAAAATATGTGATAAAAATTTAGCGTCAGGATTGAGATTTTGTTTTTCCTTTAAGGAAAAGAGTGTCTTGAACTTACCATATGGCCCAAAATTAGGAACCCATGGAGAAGTATTTGAATATATAAAATAGAAGAATGGAAGAAGTTCCTGAAGAAAGTGGTTCTGAATAGCATGAAGGAAGAAATAGAAGAGTTAGTCACAAGGAGAAAAGAAATAGGCTTTTCTACTCAATTTTGAGGCTTGTTTAAATCTAATGTTTGGATGTACAAAAGGCTAGAGGGTTGATCTTTGTTTTGTTAATTATTTTTTTCACCACATTAACTCTGAATGTCTTCTAATTTTTTCTGAACTTTTATAAAGAAAATAGTACTTTCTATTGTGCTTTTTTCTATATGTTTTTCTATCGTGCTCAAAACCATCCCACTCAAATATTTACTATTTTATATTTAATAAATAATATCTCACATTATTTATTTATGTATTTATTACTCCACCCAGGCTGGAGTGCAGTGGTGTGATCTTGGCTCACTGCAACCTCCGACTTCTGGGTTTAAGTGATCCTCGTGCCTCAGCCTCCTGAGTAGCTGGGACCACAGGCATGCACCACTACACCCAGCTAATTTTTGTATTTTTTGTAGAGACAGGGTTTTACCATGTTGCCCAGGCTAGTCTCGAACTCCTGACCTCAAGTGATCTGCCCGCCTCGGCCTCCCAACATACTAAGATTACAGCCGTAAGCCACCGCACCCAGCCCTGATATCTCACATTTATTAAATTATGACACAAGCCAGATGTCTAGCAGGGTAATAAATAGTTCATTAAGATTCATTGTATTTTGCTAGTTCTATATTCTGTAACATACAAAATCTACTAATAGAAACTTATTGAAAAACAGTATAGTACTTTGCCTCTTACTTCAATCCTTGAAGTAACTTCTTAACACCTTCTTTTGTGTGTTTGGATTGCAGAGCTGCCAATTTATATTTCCTGTTCCTAGTTGTCCTGAACTGGGTACCTTTGGTAGAAGCCTTCCAAAAGGAAATCACCATGTTGCCTCTGGTGGTGGTCCTTACAATTATCGCAATTAAAGATGGCCTGGAAGATTATCGGAAATACAAAATTGATAAACAGATCAATAATTTAATAACTAAAGTTTATAGTAGGTAAGTGTAATGGGAGCTTTGCTAAGGACTATGTGTGTATCATTGAGAAATATGCAGAATGTTACTTTTTTCTCCTTAGGCGTGACCAGGACCCTTTTGTGTTGTTGTTGTTGCTATTATTTTCAACTAACATTTCATAAAGTCCTATGGTGAATTTAATTCAAGTGTCAGAGGAAAACAAAAATGTATAAGCCATTGTCAACTCAGGAGCCGACAAAGCGAAAGCTTCTGTAACTCATGTATAAGTGGAATTAAAAGAATTAAACTTCAGGGCCGGGCATGGTGACTCATACCTGTAATCCCAGTACTTTGGGAGGCCAAGGTGGGTGGATCGCCTGAGGTCAGGAGTTCGAGACCAACCTGACCAACATGGTGAAACCCTGTCTCTACTAAATATACAAAAATTAGCCGGATGTGGTGGCAGGTGCCTGTAATCCCAGCTACTCAGGGGGCTGAGGCAGGAGAATTGCTTGAACCTGGGAGGTGGAGGTTGCAGTGAGCAGAGATCGCGCCACTGCACTCCAGCCACAGCATCCATCCTGGGTGACAGAGTAAAACTCTGTCTCAAAAAAAAAAAAAAAAAAATGGAGGAGAATATTCTTTTTTGGTGTGCATGAAACTAGAGCATCCCATCACAGCAACAACAGAAAGCATTCATAGGAGGTCTTTTTAGTGGCATATTTGCTGTATTGGAGACTTGTATTTTCAATATTTATGAAATAGAGAGTCTATGTAGCCAAGAATAAACTCAGTGAAGGTGAGTTTTAAACTGTAGTATATATTATTTGCAGCTCCTGGGTTTTTATTCTTAGATGTAAGTTAATACTTAGTAAACAGTATAGACAAATATAACTTATCTTCAACCTTATGTGATCCAAAGAGGAAAATGTTAGAAAAGCCTTCTCTGAAGAAGCGATATTTAATCTGAAAGCTGCAGAATTTGTATTTTGTTCATTATTAGAATTATTTAGTGACTTTCATAATGTTTGTTTTTATGATCTATCAAGAAAACAAGGAAAATAAGTTTGTTTATCATTTGTAAGATGATTTGAGATTTCTTGGATAATGAGAAATTAGTTCTGTTTTTTTCTCTTGTACTCATGTCCTGTCTAAAGGGAACCAGAAAAACCTATGTGTTGTATTTTAAAATGAAATAATGGTATAAGTCCATTGTTTTCATGTATAGCCATAGAGCATTTGACTAAAACAGTTCTATTAATAATTTAGTAACATTTGAATGCTTATTATATACCAGGGATAGAGAACTAAAATATCAGTGCAGTCTCTAATCTCACAAAATAGCTATAAGAAACAATATTTTACAATGATTATATGATGAACAAAGTCCAGAATTTGACCAATTTTAAGATTACCCAGCGAATGCCAAAGTTAGTAAATGGAAAGAATGCTTATTATATATATTTTTGAATACAAATGCAAATATGTAAATAATTTCAGGTCAAGTGCAGTGGCTCACACCTGTAATCCCAGCACTTTGGGATGCTGAGGTGGGTGGATTGCATGAGCTCAGGAGTTTGAAAGCAGCCTGGGCAACATGGCGAAACCCTGTCTCTACCAAGAAACAACAACAAAAAATTAGCCAGGCATGGTGGTGTGTGCCTGTAGTCCCAGATATTGGGAGGCTGAGGTGGGAGGATCGCCTGAGCCCAGGCGAAGGAGTTTGCAGTGAGCCAAGATTGGACCACTACACTCCAATCCGGGCAACAGAGAGAGACCCTGTCTCAAATGAATGAAATTAATTGCAATTTGGAGTTGATAGTGTGTGTTTATTTGCTTTTCTAGGTTGTTCTACAACATTTAATCTGATTCTCTCACTTAGCTGTGTAACCTTGCATAATTTACAAAAAGCAGCTAAACACCCAGTTTCCTTTATTATGAATGTAATAATAAAACTTACTTCATAACACCTAGTCTTTTCCAAGTGCTGAGTAAAAGCCATTATGATTATTATTATAGGTTAATTTAATGACTATTTGCTAGAGTTTATGTTTGTCACATCAAGTCATTTCATCAACATTTGAGAACTCCTTAAAACACTGCACAATTTTTAAAATATTAAAATTACCCAGTGGAAGACCTGGTATAACTTTTTTCTCAGGTGTCCTTTTAGACATAGTCCAGATTTATTTTAATTGATTTTCATATAAACTTAAAGATGAAATGCAGTATTATAGTCAGTTATTTAATATCCATTCTAAAATGTTCCTTTGTGTTTGTGTTTCATAATAGGCTCAGGTAATTTTATGCATTTTTATGTATGTATAATATAATTTGCTTTTGTTTGGTATTGTAGAAGAAATAATGCTTACATTTTTCCCCAAGATTATTTCTGGAGAAATTATTATAAGGTTATAAAGAAATAAAGATGGGATATAAAACCATGCCTTGTTGATTTGAATATGCTAATGTAAACTCCTATGAAATACAAAGAAATCAACTTACAAACAAATTATTTCTTCACAAATTTAGGGTGAAATTATGGGGGCTATTTAGCAAGTTTTTGGAAGAAGCATATTAACATTTCTAAGTGATAATTTGGTTCTTATTTGTAATAAGTCGTGTTTCACAAGGTGCTTAATTTTCTATAGAAAAGTATCATTTGGAATAACAAACACTAGTCTAGAAATTAATCATTTAAACTCTATTATACCCCCAATTAAGTTAGAATAAGCTATTGTAAAAAACCTGACTTTCTTAAGATTGCCTTTAAAATAGGAGCCACTTGTAGGGTTTTAAAATCTGTTTTAACATAATGGAACTGTCTTGAAAAGAAGACTGTTAATCATTCAACAAATTTGAGTGCCTGCTATGTGGTAAGCACTGAGACACTCAGTGGATTTAAACTAAAAATAGATCCAATGTCTGCCATCAACGAATGTACATTATTTTCTGACCTTTAAAAATCACCATGTTGTTGATGTTAGAAGTTTCAAAATATTAGCTAATATTAACATTTTAGGATTATCTTATAAATCCATAGAATTTCATGATTTGTGAAATGAGACCTTCAGTAGCCATCTGAGATAATAAACCTTATGTAAGACATTTTACGAAACAAAAATTTTAAATTCTTCAAATGTTCTTGAAAATATGTAATTAAACCACATTTTATTTGGTGGTTATCAGAAGTGACTGTAACTGGCAGTAAACTCTAGTATTTGAGAGGATAGACTCTGTATATACCTGCCTTGTTTCAATTTACAGGCCTATTTAGGAGCTGTGTAACATTGAACAAGTTACTTAACTTGTCAAGGCCAATTTTTTCTAATTTGTAAAAGTGGGGCTATCGTGTTTTCATGATACCAACCACAACATTGATTCAAAAATTAAATGAGTTGATATATATATATTTAAAGCATCTAATAAATCTTAGCTGATGTTGTGCCCAATGGTAATTCATTATTTGCTTATTATAAATAATTTAGTGTTTTATTGGAAACATACTAAAAATACCAAAAAGAAAAATTAATTCATAATCCTACCCTTTCTCTCTTTAAATATAAAGTGAAGTAGGCGTCCACATTCCCCACCCTTCATTATTACCTCTCCCTCTCTTCCCTTACCAGCTCCCATTCTAGTGGAATCACTGTTAATCGTTCAGTGTGTATTAGTACCAACTTTTCCCAATGCTTTTGTAGCAGAGTTGTTTGCTACTGAACTTACAAAGAAACAAAATAGGCCTAGAAGCTTTCCTAAAGGAGGGATTGTGGGTGCTGTGTCCTGCTCATTGAGAGTCACACACAAGCACAAACCACCGAGGAGAAGCAAGAAGTTCTAGTTGTGCATTTAGGCTCTGGGGAAAGAAGAAAGTCCTCTTACTAGTTTTAATTATATATCAGGAAAGGAAATGTAGCCTTATATTTGCACCTCCCAACGTTGTAAATGTTCCAGGCTAGTTAAATGTGGCTGTGAGCATTGTCGTTTAACCTGTGGTTGCTTTCCCACTGGGCTCTCTGAAGCCTTCTTTATTCCTCCACTCGGACTAATGTGCTGTCCCACCTTTCTTTGCCTGATTCATTCTTGAACATCCTTTAAGACTCAGTTCAAGTGTCACTTCCTCCAGGACCCAGTGCCCTGCCTGTTTGCTCCCATAGTAGCCTGTGGACAGCTCCCTTTTAGGAAATTGCTGTTTGTGTCTCTGTTTCAAAATTTGACCATAACCTGTCTAGAGTGGGGACCCTATCTTAATCATTTTTGTATCCTTAGCACCTAACATGGTAATTGGCGTGTTAATATCAGTATGTGTTTCTAGATCTCAGCTAGCCAGAGACTGGGAAAGTTAGCTAGTGTTTTGTTTTGTTTAAATCTTGGTACATGCTACAAATGGGGAAAAATGAAGTGAATTCAAATGTAAAAGTGACTTCATTTGAGTTTTGTTCTCATATAGAGAAAGAAACTTGTTCCTTAGAGCAATGTTACTTCTTATATTTGAAAGAAAATAAAATTCCTAACCCAAATGTCAAAGCCTATCTCTCTTTGGGCCTTCACAAGTTCTTAGCAAATTTCCTCCTGGCTTTCTTAGATAGAAAGTAGAGAGCAGTAAGCATGAATTATGTACCTCAAATTATACTATCTATGTCTTTACCTACTTTCTTCTGACCTTAGATGAATAAGGAATTCCCTTTCTTGTAAATAGTAATCCTTTCGTCTCTATTTTTCATCTCATTCCTATTGCTTCTCTGTAGGTTCAACCAACATCTCCCCTCCCTCCTTTTTCTTCCACCATGCCTTCTGCATTGGCTTCTCCCCTGCTTCCTATGTTCATGCCCAGTTCCTTCGTCTTTACTGTCCTTTGACTTACCTTCCGTTGCAATGGCTACTTTCACCCCTTATTCCTTTCATAGGTAACCTTCAGGAAATATTCTACTTCGGTAACTTCATTTTTGTTTTGTTTTGCTTTGTTTTTTGAGACAGAGTCTTGCTCTCTCTCAAAAACAGGTTGGAGTGCAGTGGTGTGATCTCGGCTCACTGCAACCTCCGACTTCTGGGCTCAAGTGATCCTCATGCCTCAGCCTCCCGAGTAGCTGGGACTACAGGCATGCACCACCACACCCAGCTAATTTTTTGTATTTTAGTAGAGACGGGGTTTCACCATGTTGGCCAGGATGGTCTCCATCTCCTGACCTCATGATCCACCCACCTCGACCTCCCAAAGTGCTGGAATTACTGGCATGAGCCACCGTGCCCAGCCTCGGTAACTTCTAATTACTCCCTGATTCATAGAGATTACACTTTCTTCTTCACTCTTCCAATCAACAATTTCACATTATCATCTTTCTCCAAGACCACCAGACCTAACAGCCAAATACTGTAGGCAGTTGGGTCTTCATCATACAGGACTCCTCTGTGAGACTTTCAACTATTGTGACTCCCTCTTATAAATTTCCTTCTTCCTTGATTTCTGTAACACTGCTTATCTCAGGTCTTCTTTCACCTTACTATCACTTTGAAGACTCCCTAAGAAAGTTTATCCTTACCTGGAATCAACTGCCATCTATGTACCTAGGACTTCCAAATCTATATCTTTACTCATAATCTCCAGATCAGGACCCTCAAACTGCTGAGCAGATACTTCAAATAAAAACTTTTCAAACTGAAGTTATCTCACCTGTGATACAACCAGTTGCTTCTAAAATCTGAGACCTATGACAGCACCATCCATCACCTCATAGTACACGTTAGGAACCATAGTGTCATCCTGGATAATTCCTTTACCTGTAGTAAGTCCAAAAGCTTGTTTCCAGTACCTAATATGTCTTGATTTCATCTTTTATCTATCTGTGTTGCTATTTCCTTAATTCTGACCATCTTCATTCCTCCCCTGAATTATTTCAATAACTTACCGTTGGTCTCTTGGCCATACTTCTAAATAACCTGCCATCCAATAATTCACTCATTACTTTGTCTCAGGAGTCGGCAGACAGAAGTATGGTCACATCCTTCTTTGTCTGAACCTTTGGTTGCTCTCCATTTCCTATGGAATGAAATTCCTACTCCTAGATGTGGCATGGAGGACCAAACCATCAAAATAATACCCCTGCCTACCTTTTTTATCTTTGCTCTGTTACCTCCCTCTATCTAAGAATGAACTGATATGCACAGACACTAGGGAAAAGTTTGGTAAATACAGAATAAACTGTTGATTTGCCTTTCTCCATGGGCCAGTAAACCCTTTAGATTATCAAAGATTTCCTTTGTTGATTTCAGCCTTGTGCTTTTGGTATGTCCTGAAAATGTACTTCTTAGGTAGCCTTCTAAGCTAAATATTTCTTGAAAGAGCTGATATAATTCTGTATGGCAGAAGTTGTAAAAGTATTTGTGTAAGTTGTGATTGCTATTTAATCTGATGAAATAAAGTAAGTGTATTTTATATTTGTCACAAATATTACTTTTTTTATGGATATTTGGGAGACAGTGGAGGAATAAGACAGACCTTGTTAATTTTTGTTGGTGGCATCATATGTGAAATGCTACCTGACTAGCTAACATGATGCATGATATTCTTTTTTTTTTTTTTTTTTTTGAGACGGAGTCTCGCTCTGTCACCCAGGCTGGAGTGCAGTGGCGAGATCTCAGCTCACTGCAAGCTCTGCCTCCCGGGTTTACGCCATTCTCCTGCCTCAGCCTCCCAAGTAGCTGGGACTACAGGCGCCCGCCACCTCACCCAGCTAGTTTTTTGTACTTTTTTTTTTACTAGAGACGGGGTTTCACCGGGTTAGCCAGGATGGTCTCGATCTCCTGACCACGTGATCCGCCCGTCTCGGCCTCTCAAAGTGCTGGGATTATAGGCTTGAGCCACCATGATATTCTACTATACAAATGTCCTCATTTTACCCTAGGGAAAATGACATTCTCCTATACAAATGCCCTCATTCTACCCTAAGGAAAAGGCATCGTGGAGCATAATGGTAACGCATCCTATCTGCCTGACGGGAAGTGCTGAGAGCAGATGATGTGTCTTGTGCACCTTCAGATCCTTGGTACCTGACCACAGAGCAGCATGAAGAAATTGCTTTGTATCTGAATGAGCCCATCAAATGTTGATTGTAATTTTATTCCAGAATTAGACTCAAACAGCACAATGGTTCAAAATCCCACAGGAAGAAAGGGCTGAGAAATATGTTTTAGTGGCTCAGTAACTAAATTTTCAGGTGAAGCAATTGTGGAATTTAGGGGTTGCCAGTTCTGTGGCTTCCCTTTTAGCATTTTGTTTGTTTGTGTTTGTTTGTTTGAGACAGCTCTGTCGCCCAAGCTGGAGTGCAGTGGTGTGATCTAGGCTCACTGGAGCCTCCACCTCCTGGGTTCAAGAGATTCTCCCATCTCAGCCTCCCAAGTAGCTGGGATTGCAAGTGAGTGCCACCGTGCCCAGCTAATTTTTTGTATTTTTAGTAGAGACGGGGTTTCACCATGTTGGCCAGGCTGGTCTGGAACTCCTGACCTCAGGTGATCCACCCACCTCGGCCTCCCAAAGTCCTGGGATTACAGGCATGAGTCAACTTGCCTGACCCCTTTGAGCATTTAATAGTTTAAAATTTACCCTAATACTTAATATATACTTTAAATTGTACGCAAAAAAACTTAAAAACATTGTATGTATTTTTGGCTTGATATTCTTTTCTAAAAAATCTTTTTTTAATTATAGGAAACAGAAAAAATACATTGACCGATGCTGGAAAGACGTTACTGTTGGGGACTTTATTCGCCTCTCCTGTAACGAGGTCATCCCTGCAGACATGGTACTACTCTTTTCCACTGATCCAGATGGAATCTGTCACATTGAGACTTCTGGTCTTGATGGAGAGAGCAATTTAAAACAGAGGCAGGTGGTTCGCGGATATGCAGAACAAGTAAGTCATATGTTCTCAGTTAGTGGCTTATTAACATTTTTTTTTTTTCAGAAGATGACTGAGCTCATTTTCATATTACAGATTAAGAGATTTTTAATTTATTTTCACCAGGATGAATTAGAATCCCAGAAGGTTTCATTCATTTCCAGATATGCGTGGAAGTGTTCTCTTTTGTAGATAAGAGGATAAAATGACTTCAGAGCTGATACACTTTAGTGGAGCACTCATATTTTTTAGAATGGAATTAAAGGAACCTAACAGAATTATTTTTCTTAAACTTACACTTTATATCTTATTTTTAGTAGATCATTATTTCTAAAATCTGTAATTACTTATATACCAAAGCTTAAAACTTTTTTTCATGCTACGTAGCTTTTAGACCCTTCTCAGTATCGTGCAGAGGGAAACAGAAACCTTGAAGTTATATTGACATGGATTTAAATGAATCACAGCTCTGCTGTTAATTACCGTGAGACTTTGAACAAGTCATTTAAACACTTTATGCCTCCTTTTTTTTAATCTTAAAATGAAAATGATGGTATCCATAGCATTGTTGTAGGATTCAAATGAAATAATATACATGAAAACATCATATATAGTGTCTAAATGTCAGTTTCCCTCCCCTTTCTCTGGAAGCACTTGAGATGAAGTATTTTACAATTTAATGATTTGTTGTTGTTGTTGTTGTTGTTGTTATTTTGAGACAGAGTTTTGCTCTGTAGCCCAGGCTGGAGTGCAGTGGTACAATCTCTGTTCACTGCAACCTCCGCCTCCTGGGTGCAAACAATTCTCTTGCCTCAGCCTCCCGAGTAGCTGAGACTACAGGCGCATGCCACCACACCTGGCTAATTTCTTGTATCTTTAGTAGAGACGGAGTTTCACCGTGTTAGCCAGGATGGTCTCGATCTCCTCACCTTGTGATCCACGTGCCTCGACCTCCCAAAGTGCTGGGATTACAGGCATGAGCCACTGAGCTCGGTCTATTTTTTTTTTTTAAACCCAAACTACTGTTAAGTCAGGGTTACTCTGTCTTACACTTATAAACCAAAAAAAAAAAAAAGTGTTTTAGCCTACCAATACCTTTATCTTTGGTAAATTTCATCTTGTCATATTGGGTCCACCTCTCTACCTATGGATTTCATTTAGATCCTTTGTGATTGATATGCCTCTTAGACTACTGTCATTGTCATTTCTGTAAATAGTCTCCTACCAAAGACATCGGTAAAAATCCTGCACAACTTAACATTCTGTTGTACCACTACATACCCACTTTGAGTATTAATCAGCAATTAATATTTGCCATTAAAAGTAATGGCAAAAAGCACAATTCTTTTGCACTGGTCTAATACTAATCAGCACACTGTGGGTTCGTTAAGGGTGAATCTGGTGACCTCGATATTAATCCTACTATAAACACTTTCTTGTTTTGAGAACTTTGGCAAATTACTGATCCTCTTTGTATCTCTCTTTCCTCATCTGTTAATTAGGCTCAATTATTATAGTACCTACTTCATGGAGTTGTGAAGAAGAAATTAGCTAATATATTTAAAGTGCACAACAGATTTTAGTGTGTCAAAAGAACTCCATAGATATTACTCATTAGAAAATAAATCATATTATCATAGAATTCACATTTTCTTGTTTTCTATTACATACTTATTAATTGTGATATATATCAATATAAATGGCATTTATCTTACTGGTCAAAGGGATATGAAAATAAAAGTAATGAAATAAGGTTGATGTGGCTTGCTTTAGGGGAATCCATACCTTAAAGGAGCTGTGCCTACAAAGGCACTTTGCTTATTTGTTCATTGTTTTCATAAAGAATTCTGAAATTATCTGTCTGATCCATTAGAAGATATTATAGATATTGATGTCTAGTTTATTTTTATGTTTTTTATTTATAAAATTTGGCTGAGATCAAATGCATATATTCTCAGAGTGTTCACATATACATTTTACATTTAATCTCAAAAACCACTTATGTGATTAAAGACCAACAACAGAAGTATTTCCAGTTTTTCAGTGCTTTATCAATAAAAAGCTGCTTATGAGTAGAAGCTCTCTTCTGGAGAGTCCTGCGTGGATTTCAGTAAATGACTCAGTCATTCCCATCACCTGCAGATGTTTATTAATGCTCCAGGACCATTCTAATCCCAAATATAGATCACATAATTATGCCTCTACTTTTCTTCCTTTGGGAAATTCATGATATGAACTTCATTGCAAAAAAGCCTTAGCATTATTTTAAGAACTGGTGAAAGTGATAGAACACTTCAGTATTAAGGGTTTAACCTTGAATTCTTATTTTGTGATTCAAAAAACATTTTTAGGACTCTGAAGTTGATCCGGAGAAGTTTTCCACTAGGATAGAATGTGAAAACCCAAACAATGACCTCAGCAGATTCCGAGGCTTCCTGTGAGTAATATATGACGAGAACGTTTGTGGGTGTAAGTGGAATTGTGTGTTGCAATCGTACTTAATTTGATAAAGTGTTTCTGTACTTATACCCTTGTTAAATCACTAAAGGTCATAACTTTAGCCACCTACTAAAATAGTTTGGCTTATTTTAATTAATAAATATTTACACACACACATAATAATATTCATTCTGGAGGTATGTTGTGGCATCCATATCCCCTTTGCGAAGGCAGCTAGAATTTGGAGTCCTTACCTAATTTCAGGCATCAGCCCATAAGTGCACTATGGCCTTGAGCCAAGTTATCTACCTGCTTTGATCCTCAGTTTCCAGATTTTTATCTACAGTTATAAAACTTTCAGGAAAAAAAGACAATTAGACCTACTTCACAGTGTGAGAACAGCAAAGTTCCCAAATCATTTTTTGAAATGAGAATTATCCTGATACTATTACCTTGATCCCAAAAGGGTATAAAGACATTTCATGGAAGACTAATATCCTACGTGAGCATAGATGCAAAACTTCCACACAAAATTATAGCAAATCAAATCCAACTATGTATGAAAATGATAATACATTATGACCCAGTGGGACTTATTCCCCAAAAAGTAGGATTGGTTTGACATTAGAAAATAATACAATGTCATTCACCGTTCTAGTACTATATTAACAAACCAAATTAAACGAATCAAAAGGGAAAAAACAGGTGGTCATCTTATAGATGTAGAAAAAGCATGTTACAAAATCTAACTTCCATTCCTGCAAACTAGAAGTAGAAGTGAACTTAATCTGATAAAAGGCATCCATGAAAAACCTAGAGCCAGCAGCATATTTAATCATGAAATACTTCTCCCCTGAGATCAGGAACAAGACAAACTTACACCAGAAGGTCTAGCTAGTGTAGTCAGGCAAGAAAAAGAAATGAAAGATATCAAACAAGAAAAAAGTAAAACTATCTTTTATTCACAGATGGTATAATGTTCTTTGTAGAAAATCTGATGAAATCTCCAAAAATCCTACTAGAAATAATGAGTTTAGGAATGTTGTAGAAAACAAGATCCAGATACAAAAATCAATATATTTTAATATGCTAATAATGAGCAGACATTGAAATTTTAAAAAATACAATTTATTATAGCATCAGAAAAATGGAATGCTTAAGTATAAGTCTGACAAAAATGTGAGCTACCTGTACACTGGACCACTAAACACTAGTGAAAAAAAATTTAAGAGCTAATTAAATGGATATCAGTTTTCCCCCAGATTTATCTATAGTCAGTGAAATCTCAATTAAAATATCAGCAAGGTCTTTAAGAAATTGACAAGCTTATTTTAAAATTTAAGTGGAGATGCAAAATAACTAAAGCAATTTTGAAAAAACAAGAAAAAAGCTAGAAGGCTAAAACCACATGATTGGAAGACTTATCAGAAAGGTATAATAATCAAGCCAGTGTCATTTTGGCATAAAGATAGACCAACAGATCAATGGAAGAGATTGTAGAGTCTAGAAATAGACTGACACATTTATGGACAACTGGTTTTTAACAAAGGTGCAAAGACAAATAGATGGAGAAAGGTTATCTTTTCAACAAACAGTACTGCAACAATGGGGTATTTATATTTTCAAACGTGAACTCCAGTCCATACCTCTCACCATTTACAAAAATTAACTGAATGTGAATCCTAGACTTAAATGTACATCTACAGTTATAAAAACTTTCAGAAAAAAAAAAAAAAAAAAACCATGGTGGAAATCTTTTTACTTTGTATTATGCAAAGATTTCTTAGATACAACACCAAAATTACAATCCATTAAAGACAAAAATAAATAAAAGAACTCATCAAAATTTTAAATTTTGCTCCTCAAATGATACTGTTTTCACAATGAAAAGACAAGTCACAGACAGGAAGAAAATATTTGCAATCCATATATTTGATATAGGACTTCTATTCAGAATATATAAAGGCATCTCAAAACTCAGTAATAAAACAAACAACTTTAAAAACCGTCAAAAGACTTTGAACTGATGTATTTGACATATGAATGGCAAATAATTTTGTGAAAAGATGCAGGTTAAACCACAGAGCTTTACTTGCTAAAATTAAAAAGATCAAGTGTACCAAGTGTTGGCAAGGATATAGAGGAACTTGAACACTCATATGCTGCTGGTGGGAATGTAAAATAGGCAACCACTTTGGAAAACAATTTGGAAATTTCGGAAAAAGCTAAGCATATGCCCATTATATAGCATGGCCATCCCACTCCTAGACAGTTACCCAAGAAAAATGAAAATAGTTTTCCATTCTGTGACCTGTATACAATGTTCATAGCAGTTTTATTTGTAATAGCCAAACACTGGCAGAAACCCAAATGTTCATCAACAGGTAAATGGATAAACAACTCAACAAAGTTGGTTAAAATTCTAGGAAAAGTAACAGTAAGATGGAAGGAAATGTAGAATATAATAGTAGCATGTTTTAATTTTTTTGTTTTTATACGTTCAATGGTACATGTGCAGATTTTTTACGTGGACATGTGCAATGGTGAAGTTTGGGCTTCTAGTGTACCCATCTCCCAAATGGTGAACATTGTTTCTAGTAGGTAATTTTTCAACCCTCATGCTCCTCCCACCCTTCTTTCTTTTGGCGCCCCCAGTGTCTATTATTTCCCTCCATATGTCCATATATACCCATTTTTTAGCTCTCACTTACAAATGAGAACATGCAGTATTGATTTTCTGGTTTTGAGTTAGTTCACTTAGGGCAATGAACTCTAGCTCCATCCATGTTGCTGCAAAAGACATGATTTCATTGTTTTTTATAGCTAAATAGTAGTCCATGGGGGGTGTGTGTGTGTGTGTGTGTGTGTGTATCACATTGTCTTTAATCATCCATTGATGGACACTTAGGTTGATTTCATGACTTCACTGTTGTGAATAGCATGACAAGAAACATAAGTGTGGTTGTGTTCTTGATACAACATTTTCTTTTCCTTTGGGTAGATACTCAGTAGTGGAATTGCTGGGACAAATGGTAGTTCTATTTTTAGTTCTTTGAGAGGTCTTCATACTGTTATCACAGGGGTTATACTAATTTACATACACACCAACAGTGTATAAGCATTCCTTTTTCTCTGCATCCTTGCCAACATCTGTTATTTTTTGACTTTTTAGTAATAGTCATTCTGACTGGTGTGAGATGGTATCTGATTGTGGTTTTAGTTGGCATATCTCTGATGATTCGTGATGCTGACCTTTTTTTTTAATGCTTGTTGGCCTCTTGTGTGTCTTCTTTTGAGAAATGTCTGTTGATGTCCTTTGTCTACTTTTTAATGAGGTTATTTGGTTCCTTTGTAGTTGTTAATTGGTTTGAGTTCCTTGTAGATTCTGAATATTAGTTCTTTGTTAGATGTGTAGTTTGCAAATATTTTCTCCCATTCTGTAGGTTGTCTTTTTACTCTCTTGATTGTTTCTTTTGTTATTTAGAAGGTGTTTGTTTTAATTAAATATGATTTGTCTATTTTTGTTTTGTTGCATTTGCTTTTGAAGTCTTAATCATAAATTCTTTGCTTAGGCCAATGTCCAAAGGGTTTTTTCTGGGTTTTCTTCTAAGATTTTCATAGTTTCAGGTCTTACATTTGAGTCTTTAATCCATCTTGAGTTAATTTTTGTAGGTGGTGAGAGGTAGGGATTTCGTTTATTCTTCTACATATGTCTAGCCAATTTTCCCAGTGCCATTTATTGAATAGGGTGTCCTTTCCCCATTGCTTATTTTTGTCAACTTTGTCAAAGATCAGTTGGTTGTAGACATGTGGCTTCAATTCTGGGTGCTCTATTCTTTTCCACTGATCTATGTGTCTATGTTTTTGTAGCAGTACCATGCTGTTTTGGTTACTGTAGCCTTGTAGTGTAGTTTGAAGTCAGGTCATGTGGTACCTCCAGCTTTTTTTTTTTTTTTTTTTTTTCCCATTCTGGATTGTTTTGGCTATTTGTACTTATTTTGGTTCCGTATGATTGTAGAATTTTTTTTCTAATTCTGTGAAAAATGACGTTGGTATTTTATAGGAATTACATTGAATCTGTAGATTTCTTTGAGCAGTATGGACATTTTTAACAATATTGATTCTTCCAATCCATGAGCATGGGATGTTTTTTCATTTATTTGTGTCATCTGCAGCTTCTTTAATCAGTGTTTTGTCCTTCTCTGTGTAGAGATCTTTCACCTCCTTGGTTAAATGTATTTCTAAGTATTTTATTTTGTGTGTGTGTGGTTACTATAAATGAGATTGAGTTCTTGATTTGGTTCTCAGCTTGAACGTTATTGGTATATAGAAATGCTACTGATTTTTGTGTATTGATTTTGTGTTTTGAAACTTTATTAAAGTTGCTTATCAAGTATAGGAGTCTTTTGGAGGAATCTTTAGGGTTTTCTAGGTATAAGAACCTGTCATCAGTGAACAAAGATAATTTGACTTCCTCTTTTCCAATTTGAATGCCTTTTGTTTTTTTTCCTCTTGCCTGATTGCTCTGGTTGTGACTCCCAGTACTGTGTTGAATAGGAGTGGTGAGAGTAGGCCTCTTTGTCTTGTTCCAGTTATTAGGAGGAATGCTTTCAACTTTCCCCCTTTCATTATGATATTGGCTGTGAATTTGTCATACATGACTCTTGTTATTTTGAGGTATGTTCCTTTGACACCTAGTTTGTTGAGGATTTTTTATCAGAAAGGATATTGGTTTTTATTGAGTGATTTTCCTACATCTATTGAAATGATTATATAGGTCTTTGTTGTTGTTGTTGTTGTTCTTTTGTTTGTTTGTTTGTTTTTGTTTTGAGACAGAGTCTCATTCTATTGCCCAGGCTAGAGTGCAGTGGTGTGATCTCGGTTCACTGCAACCTCCGCCTCCTGGTTCAAGCAACTCTTGTACCTCAGCCTCCTGAGTAGCTGGGATTATAGGCACCTGACACCATGCCTGGGTAATTTTTGTAATTTTAGTAGAGA